GAAGAAGTATTTGAGGGTGTGGGTGAAGAGAAGATACTGAACCACACTTACACTTTTCATTAGAAATGGGAAGTTTGATCAATAGGTATATCAAATTCGAAAATTTATTCGAATTGAATTGTTACTGTCATGCTCGAGGGTGTGGGCATGGGTGAGTGTGTGGGTGTGGGTGCGGTTGTGGGTGTGTGTGGGTGTGGTTAAGAGTCAGACTAAGAACCATACCCACACCTCCACCTTCCCCCACACCCCCACCCACGCACCCCCACCCCCACCCCCACCCCCACCCACACCCACACCCAGTCACCCACACCCACACCCAGCCACATCCACACCCCCATCCCCACACCCGCACCAACACCCACACCCACCCACAACCACATCCACACCCACCCACACGCACACCCACACCCTGGTTAAATCAGTATTCACAGGCAAGCTGATTAGTTCTAGAAAACATGTTCAACGCTAACCAGTGTTTTTTTGTGCGAAACTCAATTTCTCAATCTTTTTCTTCAATTTAATATATCCAGTTACAGAAAAACAAATTTTTGTGTTTTTTCGATATTTTCTCGTGCATCCTCATTTAACATAATACATTTTGTTTGTATTACTGTGCTCTCTGAACCAATAAAAAATGTTGAAAGACAGCAAAATAATGTATAAAATAATTTTTTCTTTTGCCATCAAAAGTTCTATTCAATCTGATGAAGCTATTAAATGAAAAATATTATAATGAATTTAGTCTGGACAGTATTCAAACATTTAACTTAACCCGTGTCGGATACTGTTAACCATAGTGAATTTCTTATGTTTTGCAATAAACTGTTCAAGTTTTGGTGTAAATAAACTATTACCATTTCGAACAGAGTTTCTTCATCTCGACGAAGACGAATTTCTTTCGTAATCAGTTTTTCAAGTTGTTCTATCGTTATTATCTAAGGTTTATTGATTAATTCGAATTTTTTTGCTCTTTTGCTTTCAACACTCTTCGTTTTTCTTTTTTCTTTTTGTTGCCAAATTTGATCAAAAATATGAATCAAAAATGATATTCGGGCGAAACCAGCTTTTATGTTTCATACAACAATATTTAACTGAAAGTTCGTTATGAATTTGATATCAATTCGATTCATTTTTGTCGTCTATTTTCTAAAGAACAAACTCACTTGAATAATGTAATTGGTGATATGAATATTTCATAAGAGTTCGCATAAAAATATATTCCTGTATAAACATTTAAAATAGGGTAATTTTATTTAGTCGATATTCTATCTATAGTTAATGATCACACAAATATTGATCATATCGTACATAGTTTAGGTTTTACTAGAGAACAAACGAATACTTTTGTAAAGAACTGATTTGTCTGTCGAACTCTCAATACCAGAAATTCATTACCGATTTTCCAAGAATAATGGTAAGTGTGGGTGTAGATGTACCATCCATCTACCCCCGCACTTACGTCCACACCCACACTCTTATCTTATCTTCTAGTCTTATTAATTGTGTTATTGATTTATTGGTGAAAAGTTCTGTAAGATCATGCGCAACACTAGAGTATATTTCCACGTTTTATATCATATCGTCGCACAAAATTTAATTTTGAAGATAGATTTTTAAATATTGCTACTTCATGTTAAACTATTGTTATAACATCTTCCCAATATGGTTTCTAGTAATAATCAGATCTTCTTTCAGATTTTTCTTTGTCTTTTGATTCTGTATAAATCTCAATGTCAGTTAATAAATATACAAGGTCACGAATCGATAAACCATTTAAAAAGGCTAACGCTTCACCTATATCAAAAGCTGAAGCATTATTATAGCCAAATATATTGACATAAAGAGCAAACACGTTAATTGGTTTAATTTCACTATTATTCGTATATTTTTCGATGTTATCAGGTTCCAATGTAAGCAAAAATGAAAGTTTCTGAAACCACTTAGAAGACTAATCCATATTCTTATTTTCTAAAATTACAATTTAAATTTATTCACCTTTGTTCAATTCTGTCGCTTCTTCATACAATAAATAAAAAAGTAAAATATTATAATTTCAACAGCTGAAATTCTGGGTTCGTTGGTCAAATCAATTTTCTTATCTAATCATAATTATCAGTCACGTTAACAGGAAAAGATATATGCAAACAAAACGGAAAGAAAATATCAGCGGAGAAAAAAAATAGTAACAAATAGAAAACAAATACAAGCAAATGTATTTAGATTTCGATCAAAATCTAATTAACAAAAATGAACAACAACTATATACAAAAGATTACTAATGTTCATGCAACCTACATTCTAAAAATCAATTTTTGTTCTTTGAATGTCATCTAAAGTAACGACAATGTTTTCATCCAACAAAGTTTCTTTAAAATCAGAACTGAAACGAAAACAATTTTCTTTCTGATAAAAATTTTTAAAAAGGTAAAACTTATGTAGCAATACTTCGTTGTTCATTTGCCATTTATCTTTCATAATCAAGTTTAAGAGCACGTGAAAAACAAAGTGTTACATAATGATATGGTGCTGGAAAAGATACAGCTTTCCTACATCAAACATTAGTATGACATAAATAATATCTATTTAGATTTAAAATGAAAACTTTTTATTTAAAATTTTGATTATCATAGGTCAATTGTTCAATATCATCACATGTAAAACTTGATAAAGTATTGCTGGTCATGTATCTTGAATAGCTAAATGAAAATTAAGATAAAACTCGAATCCATTCGGTGAAACAACATCACTATGAATAATCGTTTCCAAAATGAATAAATATTTCAAAAAATAGATTAAATAAATTATTTGATTATATTGCTTATCTCAAGTAAACAAACGAGTATTATGACGTTTTTTATCAACAACACAAGAGATTTGAGGTAATTGATTATGATAATAAAATTCTATTTCAATAAAATCTTCTCTATTTTATTCATATAAACAATGATAGCCATCTTTACCTTTATATGCTCATAGAATAGATCATCATTCTTTATCAAGTTCTTTTTGAAATGATCCATCATCAACAACAGTTCAACTAAAAACAAGTTTGTTTGGTAAACGTGAATTATGGTTCGAAAATTCACGTAATGATCCTCCAACAAATAAACGAAGATCTTTAATAATTTCAAGTGCGATTTTTTCTTTTGGTGAAAATTGTTGTACAACACGACCAGCATATTTTTGTTCTTATGAAGAGTTTTCTGAAATGAAACATCCAATATAAAATCAAACCATAGAAATATCTGATCGAGATGATGATGCAGTTAATGTACACACCAATGAAACAAGTTGATAAACACCACCGAATTTTGCATTAAATTTTGCTACGAAATTCTTTTAAAGAAATTATTTATTAATATTTAATTCCAAAGAAATGATATAGAGAGTATTTACGTATCCATTCTACGAAAATCACTATTAAACATAAGACAACTGAAACGTGTACATTGTGTTATAATACCTTAAAAAACAAATGATTTTTTAAAATAAAATTTGATAATCAAGAATTTAAATATATGTCGTCTAAATCAATGTGTACTATTAGCCAAAAGATCAGAAACAATGAATTTGTTCTCTCTGGGCGAAGTTTGCAGCTATATCGTCAACATACAGATCTGCTTTGGAAAAACAAACAATATATGGTAAAACACAGTTCTACTGTAGATAAATTCATTTCTGAAACTCGAGATGTGCAAAGCCATGTTTTTCTCGATTATAACATATAGAAAACTAGCTTAGGATTTATGCATATTAAATCTTACAATCTGTTAACGCAATCTTTCGTTTTATGGTCCCCTGGCTAAGTGAGTCCTTTCAAGAAATACTCGAATTCTGACCTAAGATATCCTCCATAGAATAACTTCTCATTTTTTAATTTATGGAAAACAGTCCAATTTACTAGCAATCAAGAATTTTAATTTACAATCAAACCCAATTAAAAATTATAACAATAAACCTAGATTAAAATTACCAAATAATGCAACAACAATATACAAATAAGACCCAATTATCGAACCAATCATCAATAACATCAGTGATTAAACGAAAGAATAATAACAAAAACAATATTACAAATGAACACTTACCAAGTAAGATCCTAATTAGTCATTATTCACATTTTCTAAGACATAGGGCAAAATTTCAAT